GGGGCCGGAGTGCGGGGGAGGTCTGGCCTGGAGGGGCGCCGAGCCCTGGGGGGGCGAGGTGAGCTAGAGGGGGCGGGGCGTCAGTGGAGAGCGGAGCTGGGGGTGGGCGGGCCGGGCCSGGCCTGCAGACGGCGGGTCCGGGTCCGGGAGGCGCGGTGTGGCGCGGGGCGCGGGCCAGGGTCCTGGGCGGGGCCTGCCAGGTGACCCGCCCGCGGCACTGCGCAGACTACCACCGCTGCCTCAAGAACATGAGCCGCCGCGGGAAGAGCACCGAGCCCTGCGAGTACTATTTCCRCGTGTACCGCTCGCTGTGCCCCATCAGCTGGGTGAGCGGGCGAGGGGCGCGGGCGGAGGGGCGGAGGGGCGGAGGGCTGGGGCTGAGCTGAGGCGGCCCGCTGCTCCTCTCCAGGTGCAGCGCTGGAACGAGCAGATCAGGCAAGGGACTTTCCCAGGCAAAATCTGACCGCCGAGCGCGGTGTTCCCAGCCTTCAGCGCCGGTGGCCCGTCTACTCGTGTCAGGAAGACCGGCCTTAGTTACCACCCCCCCAGTCTAAGCCACCAATAAAGTTGTGCTGTTGCTAGTGTTCCTTGGTGATTCATGGGGGTGGGGCAGGGCTCTGGGGGCCTGTGTCCCAACACTGCTTTTTCTGATAACGGGGGATGGGCAGGGTCAGGACACCGCTCCCTCAGGAAGGGCAGTCAGGGCTCTAGGGCAGGAAGATAGGAAAAAGTCAGGGGCTCCCGTGCCCCGATTTGGTCCAGCCAAGATGCGCGTACCCCAGTATAACCAGATGGCTCTAGCGAGTCGTGCCTCTCAATCCCCACATCTACCTGTCACCCAAGTCTTTATGTCCACGGCTTAGCCTTCTCCCCTCCTGTCTGGGTCATCTCCTTTACCTTCCCCCACCCCTTCCACCCTGTCCATCCAGTCTCCAGTTCTGAGGGGTCTTCATATTGCCCAGAGCTGCCCTCATTCCTCCCTGCTCACCCTGCTCTGACACTTTATCTGCTTTCCACCATGTCCTACCTGCCACCTTTTCCTCTCTGAGCATCACTGTGCCAGTCACATGAGCCCCCTTTCCTAGTAGGGTTCCTGGGATGTGTCATGTCCATCCTTTCCATATCCTGAGGGACAGCAGCAGCAGCCTCCTCTGTTCTCTAAGCAACAGCACCCCCTACCCCCGTGTGAGTACATGTGCACACAAATGACCCCATCTGTACCTCTCCCAACTTGGCACTTTGGTTTCTCCCAATGCCCCTTTGGGAAGCTYGGCTTCGGCTGAATCCTTGCTCTTTCCCCATCCACAGCAGCTGCGGAACCAAGCTGCTGAGTTGTTCTGGTTCCGGTGTTCCTTGAACTGTGGCCTCTCCCCAGGCCAAAGAGTGGCCCTTGACAGAGCCCAAGGGTTCCAGGCTGGTCCTTCCCTGAAACTTGCTGCTGCCTAAGACTATCAACCTCAAATGAAACTTCTGAAGGAAGCCCTACATCCTGATCCAGGTRGCTTCAAGAGGCCCTGCTCAACCCAAGGCTCAAAGGTGACTATGACAAATAATAACTCATTGGGTGACCCAGCTGTAGATGGGTTATGTTATCAGAATAAGCAGGGCAGGAGGGGCTGGTCAGTTCAGAGGACTAGCTCCATCCCACCCTCACTCCATGATGACCTGTCCAGCATCCTGCCCAGGGCACATCCCACAGGAACCATCTCCTTGGATGGCCTMCTACCTTCCTGCCTCTGAGAAGCAGGGTGTGGACTGGCTATGGTAGGGGGGGACCACATCTGGTCACTGAACAACCCCAAAGCCACAGAGGTGGCACTAATRCTGGAAGGGAAGCCAGAGGGCAAGAACCTGGAGTCAAGCAAGGTTGGCTGTCTGAGGACTTAGTGAGGTCACCCAGGTAGTGTCCAGAGCACAGGGTCAACACCTGTGCAGCCATGACTAACTTTTTCCTTCCCAGAGCCAGTGTTCTGAGCTTTCTTTCTGCCTGAGGCTGCCTCCTCCTCTCCTCTCCTCCCCACCATCATTTGGCCACTTCCTGGTCTCTTATTCCTGGCCTCCCCTGCCAGGGCCTGACTTGCCTTGCTTCCAGCCTGGTGGGCCATCCCACCACAAACCTCGGCCAGCTATTCCTGCCAAAGGCACCCGGTGTGGCTGCCTTCGAAGTCTTCCTTCTCCTCCTCCTCCCAGCCTACTGACAGACACTCTGCCTTGGTCACACTTGTTCCAAAGGCCCTGAAGGTCTGTTTCCCTCCATCTCCATCCCATGATGCACTGCTGCCAGCTTGCTGTTCCATGGCTCCCAGCAGGTTGGTTCTGGCATCTGCATCTTTCCCATCCCAAAGGAGCCTGGATGGGCTGACAATAGGTGCAACTGGACTGCAACTGGCCAGTCACATGACCCGGGATAGACCCCCTAGACCCTTGTACTGTGAACTTTCAGCCCTAATACAGTGATGATACCCATACTTCCCAGGGYTGTGGGAGAGGGTGGAGAATGCAGAGAAGCTGGATGAGCCCAGCTGTCCTCAGCGTGTGGGCTGTCTACAGAAACTGGAGTCACCAGCAGAGTACAGAATTCAACTCTGGTGTGTACGATTGTGCTGGACAGTGGGGGACTAGATGGGCAGAGGGATGACCCATCACTAYAGTCCTGTAGCTCCTGGAGGCATCTGGTCTACTTGAGCTCAGCACAAAGGGTCACAAAGCACTCCCACAGGTAGAAGCTGAGTCTAGAATGGAGGGTCCTTATGACAAGGCCCCTGCCCGCCAAGTCTGAGAATAGTACAGGTGCCTGGCACATGACAACACCTGGGTTCCATGTTGTCTTTCTCCGTTTTCTGTTTTAACTCCTATCTGCTTCTGACTACCAGTCTCTCTGTTCCTTCCCAGTTTCCTGCTGTCCCCACACATATGATGGAGTCCTGAGGCCTGGGACTTAACCCATCAACCCTCAGACAATTCCCTCTTCCCACGCAGTTTCTTCCTCTCTGGTGACTGAGCCACCATGTAAGCTCATGACATCTAGCTCCAGCTCCACTGGAATAACCTCCAGGTCCCACCAGTGGGCTAGTGCCCAGAGCTTTCCTGTGGCACCCCGTGGTCAATGTGGAATCCCAGCCAGGGAACATTGGGCAGGGCTACCCTCTCCATACATTCCTGTCTATATAAAAGATAACCCTGGAYATACCTCACCTCTCAGGGCTGTGCTGGCAGCCCATCTCGATACAGAGTGCCATCTTCTCATGCTGGGGACCGACTCAGCGCATCACACATGCTAAGCAGTATTCTACTTGAGCTGCACCCCCAGCCCTAACTCTTTGTTTTTAGTGCTCTAACCACTGATTTTTAACCTTTTTTTCCCTTGGGTTGTGGATACTTTAATTTTCTTTTTTTTTTTTTAGTTGTAGATGGACAACCATACCTTTGTTTATGTGGTGCCAGGGATCAAACCTAGTGCCTCACACATGCTGGGCAAGCGCTCTACCACTGAGCCACAACCTGGCCCAGGTGGATATACTTCTGAGACTTTGATGAAGGCTGTGAATCCCCAGGAAAAAAAGTTCACATGAATAAGTATTCAGAACATAAACTAGACTAGGGTTTCAAGAGGTGTGTAGAAGTCCCAGTCTCCAGTCCACAAATCATGGGATAAGAACCCCTGCTCTGCTATCATTCTGTCTAGAAACAGTGGGGACAATGCCTGAATTTCAAAAAGCAATCACTTTTGGGCACTCTTGTAATCCCAGCAGTTTGAGACACTGAAGCAGGAAGATGGAGAGCTCAAAGCCAGTCTCAGCAACTTAGTGAGGCATTTAGCAACTCAGTGAGTTTCTAGTCTCTAAGAAAAAAAAAAAAAAAAAAAAGGGCTAGGGATGTGGCTCAGGAGTTAAACACCCCTGGGTTAAATCCCCAGTATCAAAAAAAAAAAAAAAAAAAAAAAAAGGTGATTGCTTCAATTTCTGTAGGAAGTGCCTATTACAGCAAAGATCTCTCCTCTTTCCCGCATAACTGCTGAGTGACCTGGAGTCCCCTCCTCCTTATTAGGAATAGGAGGGAGAAACAGCAGGGTTCAACAGGAATGGCACTGTAAGAAAGATTTCCCTTTGCAAAAGGAATGATAGGCCCAGTCAATCTATGCAAGTAAATTTTATATGAAAAAACATTTCTCAAGTCCACTGCCAAGGTACCCTGCCCAGACCAACCACAGCCCACGTGGCCCCGTGCTGCCTCCACTTTCCTATAGGTTCCTTCTCCACCAGGCTGAGGATGGGCTAATACAGATGCCTGGGGCCTTGCCTGCCCAGGGTGACTGTGTCCACAGCTGGCTGACATGGAGGAAAAACACAGGGGCCTGCAGCCCACACGTGAACTGTAGAAGTTAGTGTGGTCTACCGAGGTCTGTGAGGTGCTCAGGGGAAGCCTAGAGTCTGTGAAGTGCTGGCCAGTCAGCAGCTGAGCCATTACTATTCTCTCCTGTCAAACAAGGCTTTAGGGTTGCTGTGAGTTAACGAGGAMAACAAAAATTAAGATATTGGGTTGGACTTGAAGAAACAAGACATAGCAGGGGCTGGGGCGTGGCTCAGTAGCAAAGTGCTTGCCTTGCACATGTGAGGCGCTGGGTTCAATCAGCACCACGTAAAAATAAACACATAAAATAAAGAAAGGCATGCTGTCCATCTACAATTACAAAAAAGATTAAAAAAAAAAAGAAAAGAAACAAGACATAGCAGGACTTATTGGCCCAAGCCTGTAATCTCAGTGACTTGGGAGGCCAAGGCAGAAGGAAGGCAAGCTCAAGGCTAGCCTCAGCAACCTGTCTGAAACAATAAAAAGGTCAGGGGATGGAGCTGTGGTAGAGCACCCTGGATTCAATCCCCAGTACCGCCCCCCCCACCTCACCCACACATACAGGAAATGAGACCTGCTTGAGAACAGAGGAAAGCATACCCAGGCCACCTCCTTGGTTGGCCAGGCCCATCCAGCTGAGTGGGGATGTCTGACTTAACAACTGAGAGAAGGGTGCTCAAGTCCCCTGTGCCCTGGGTAAGTCACTCTGCTTCCGGGACCTCAGTTACCTCATATGGAAAACAGGAGAATCATTTCCTCCTGGGTCAGAAGGCATTTTCAGGGAGCAGTCTGAAGGGTGATGGGCTTCTGCCTCCATACTCTGCGACCTCAGAACCCACTGCTCTTTACCCTTTCACGACAGCTCACAGCCCAAGGGCTGAGCCTCCTCCTCACCTCCCCAGGAGGCTGAGGTATCAAGAGATTTCCAAGGGTACTGCTTATAACAAGGTTTTTAATAAAATAAAAAGTTCAAGTGCTTCCAATCCCCCAACATACCCCATTCTGGTGTGGGGAATGGAGAGGCTCGCATACCCCAGTAGCACCAGGGATAGCACCATGAGAAAGATAAGGTCGCACCCGGCCTCCCTGAGACCTGTGGGGGTGGTGAGAACG